ACCAGAGGAAATATTGCTGTTACTTCTGGTGGGGAGCAGTGTAAAACTTTGTCTCTTTGCCTCAATTTATGAGTCCATTCATCATTAAACAATTACATAGGCAAAGAATTCAATTTTCCTCCTCTCATTTCTTTTTTCATGACTGTGTTTCCCAGAAAGGGCAAAAACATAATTACAGAATGCAGCAACACGCTAACAAAGAAATATCGACTGCTGGCTTACAGGCAAACATTGGGTGTAAATTGTGAAGGGTTTTTTTGCTAATAATTTTTTTATTTTTTGGTCCTTTATCCCAGAGACGTTTTTCACTGCTGTCTTGCAACGTGACAAAGGTTTGTTTAAAAAGAAGGGAATAACTCTTCCACTTTTTCAGTCCCTTGAACTTACCTTTGTCTTGAGAGAAAACACTAAAAAAGCTGTTTCTCTAGCAGATCAACAATGGCATAATGAAGAGGAGGCACTGTGTGTGCATGCTTTTATTCCACGTGCCAAAGAATTTAAGCACCGAGTGCTGTCTTTCATTAGGAATGCACATTTATTTCATATTAGTGAATGCTTGAATGTTTATAGAAGATGCATAGCAGCAAACGCATGCCTTCCTATTCTGCAGCCAGCCACAATTCTTGGACGTCAGGTTGGAACTGGAGTCGGCTCACATGGGAGCTCATTTGGCAGACCAGCCTGCCACCGGGGAGCCTAATGAAAGCACACACAGCCAAGGCTCCAGCTACAACCAGCTCCACTCTCTTGTGAAACCAAAACCACACAGCTTTCGCTTTCTACGCTGTCTTTTTCTTACTTCAGTTGTTTGCATTGCATTCTGTGGGCTGTGGAGTCTGGTAACGTATCAAAAATGTGGTATGTAATTTAAAAACCACAGAGATTTCTGCAAGCATATGATGATCCCCCCCCCCATTTCTTTTCTATTCCTGGGACTGTTTGTTTTGCAGATATGTGTATTTATAGAGACTAGAAAGATAAGCTTTCCTCATCCATCAATACAACTGTTTCATCAAAAAACACAACATATTGATTAATTCATTCTTAGCTGGTGTTTCAGATTCATGAGATTAAGGCTACGTTTTCACACTGCAGGTTTTAATGCTCAATTCAGATTTTTTGATCAAATCACACTACAAATAAAATGTGACAGGAAACACGCTCTAGTGTGAACCCTCAAAGTGGCCAAAAGAAGACGTCACACTCAACGCGCTCTGTTTAGACCCAGACCAAACAGTATTCTTTGACTGATGGCCGTTAATATAAAGACTTGTTTTGGACTTCACGTTTCCCAAGTTATTTTGTTATTTACATGTGGCCTAATAATTATCCTTATTGCTGTTTTAGAGAGGAGCGGTACTTCAAAGGATAGTTGCAGATTTCTGTCAAAATCTGCAGATTATACAGTACAAATAAAACATTCACATTTCTCCATCGTTGTCTTCCCAACAGTTTCACTGGATGGCCAGGAAGCGTTCACCATGTCTTCTCTGGCGCTGATAATTGGCGTCTGTCTTGTGTCAGTGACGTAAAAGACGGATTTAATGCGACCTGACCATTCAAACAGCAGTCGCTTTCTAAAACATCAGATATGTATCGGATTCAGTACCACATACGAAAGTGACCCAGATCGGATTTGAAAATATGGGATTTGTGC